ATTTTTGGTATACGTAACGACAATATTTGCTTTGTACAAAAATTCCACGATAAATATCCACAAAATTAGACCGGCATGACCTAGGGACAACATTTAAGAACAATATCGTGCAATTAGATCTAAGATTGAAAACCTAGAAAAAAAGATTACTTTATATAACTTTTATATGTGCAAAAGCACATTCAGGTTGACAGGATAAGCAATATTGCGTGTGGCAAGAGATGGCGCAGTAATCGAACAAAGACAGATGCCTCTCGTTAGACAAGGACAGATATAGATATATGACAAGAAAACAGAATTAGAAATGTTGACATTACCGACGTCGAGGAAGTTCAGCCTTCACTTTAGGATCCCCTTAAATGTTTGTTAATAACACTGTTCAACAAAAAAGTGTACAATAATATGAATAATCGTTTCCTGTAGTTGCGGAGCCAAGATGGCGGATATTAAAATTAAAAATTTGACCATTTTTAATTTTCCATGTTAGCTCCGCCATTTTAAATTTATTAACTTTGACATCGGATTAGTATTCAGCCATCTGAAAAACCCTTAGGGGGTTTGAATAACTTAGTTAAAAAACTTTATAGATGCTTAATAGTCTATATGTAAATTGCAACTTTGACGCAATAGACTTTATTTTAATGTTTAATATCTTTTTAACCATGTTGACACAACAAATTCCTTTTAAGACCTGAAAGTTCTATAACAACATACTTAATTTTGATTGCAATAAAACTTTTTTAAAACATCATATATTCTAGTCATAATATGCCAAAATATACTATTGTAAAATAGCCCTTTTTCGCAAATTTAACTGCAAATTTCTCAGAATTGTGACGTGATAGAGCAATTTGGTATTTGGTTTAACGGGATCGTCCAAAATTCCATATTCAGCGTCTAAAAAACTATAGGAAATGATTGTTCTCCTTCTTGTGTTAAGAAAAATAATTTTTCGTTGAACAGTGTAATAGAACTTGTGATAATAAGAGCCTGAAAATGATACAATATATAGTTTAAATAACGCTTTATGAAGCATACAATAAGCACCGAGTACACAATAAATGGAGAATAATAATAAATACCGATGCATTGATATTATACTCGAGAAAACATACGGTATAATATAATATACTCGTATTTCATAATTATTCAATGAAATTGTGTTCTACGGTCTACAATTAATAATATACTTGTACATTAATTGTTTACGAATAATGTAAAAATAATAATACGACGCGAAATACACGCAAATATTTTGGAATACGCGAAAGTATTTCAATCTTTCTTTTCGTTTCGACATTCTCCGGAAGACGGTAAGATCGAGAGTTACATCGAGGGAATTCCATTCTAACGGCGGCGCGCAAAAAATATCGGTCTTGAGGGGGTTAACGCGAAATCGATACGTAGACGTGCCGCCGCGATATATCGCGCGCGTTTCGGGTATGCCGAAATGTGTCGTCGTAGCAGCCATTAGGCCGTCCGTTCTACGAAGCTCGCGCTTGTGTCCCGACCCCTGTGTATGTAAACGCGATGCAGTCTATGCACTATGCAATCGCGAGGAAGTAACGGGGGAAGCGCCCGAATAGGCGAGCCACGGCACGGGCGTGCAATCGAGCGGGTTGAAAACGGCACGCTTGCGAGAATGCGCCGCGAATGATGCAGGATGGCACTAACGAGACACGTTCCTATACGGAGCAACGCTTTGTGTGTCGACAAGAGTGTACCAGCTACGACGAAAGAGCTCTTGACAGGAGCTCGCACTTTCTTCGGTATCGAACACCTATCTTGTTACCGTTACCGTTATCCTTTCACGAAAACCGAGCGATCGAGCTTCTTTGACTTCGACGAAACACGAGTAGAGTCTCGAGACACGATGGTCTCAAGACTCCTTTGGCAAACCTACAATTCTATTGCCAAAAATGAGTGTTCTCATTGAATTTAATCTCACTAATTCTCATACACTTTTTGCGGTTGATCTCAACTTTATTTACAACGGCTATTAATCCTACATTACTCGCATGCGGAATGTAAAATACGCCCAAACTTTATAATTCTATTAAATTCACAGAGTAAAACTTTTTTTATTGATTGAATGCCGCACAAATTGTTTCACAATTAGAGAAGAAAAGCATTTATTTTTATCTAGAAGATATATAGAATGTTATCAATCTTTATTCAATCGTAAATCGTCGAAAGAGATCGAACAATAAAAATTGATAGGATGATGTTGGCTGATGGTAAAATACACCCTTATATATGAGTAATTATGTTAAAAAAGAAACTACGTGAGTAATGTAGACTTTAGAAGTATGGCAATATAAGTAATATGCTTCAGTGTATGGCTTCTAGGATTAACTTAATCGTTAAAATTATGTCACGCTTTACTCTATCCATCGATTATCTCTCATCATCATGCGCGCCTGCTATTAAAGAGATTAAAGTCGAGCGGATCTGGACCGAAGTAGGTAGTTAACGTTTTTACGGATTAACGTTACAAATTGTTCTTCGAGATAGTTATATCCGTACGTGACTGACTTTTTCGAGTTCCTGTCGGCGAATTTCTCTGGCGAAATCCCAGATTGCCGTTGTCGTCCTCGATGACGACAACGCTGGCTAGTGTCTGACATCGTTTCATCTGTCTTACGACGAAGCAATGGAAAAATCCCGATGAGTCAGACGAAATCGCATCAAATTGTGTGAGAAAAGGAGTGGAGGAGTGAGGAAGCGCATCCTTCTTTCCAGGAAGCAAATCGATGAGATTTCGTCTGGTTTTACGACGCTACGTATATAGGTGCACCATTAGAGGAGACCGGGGCTCGTTGGCACTGTTTTTACATTTTCGGCATTTGAATTTTTAAACAACTAATTATCATGATTAAATAGTACTAATATGATAGAGAGAATCTTTCTCTTCATTTTCATGCCTGGAACGCTCCCTGTATACTGTATAGTTTCTTTGTAATAAGTGAAATACGAACATGCTGCATTGTAACCAACTTGCCCCGATAGTAGGGTAAGTTGGCTATGCGTCCATGTTAAATTAATGAAAACGTAATAGAAACACAAAACGGGTAACAGATATGTACTTCTTGATAAAGATTGTATCATTTAAAGTTATTTTGTAATGATCGAATAGCAAAATACTGTTGCAGAATAACAATTGTAAACTATTCTAAATGTAGCTTTCTTCAACATAAAAATATTAATATAAATATATATCTAGCTTCTATCAGCATTGTAGGTAGCAAATCACATACATAGGTCTCACGCGCGCGGCAACAACAAGTCAAGCTAAGCGTCTCTTGATATGAGCCAACATACCCCGTCCCTATATACGTTTGATTTCAGTCATTTTATTATAATAAATTACTGTTGTTCCTCAAAATAATATGTCGTATAATAACAAAAACGTTTCTTTTTACTAATTATACATCACTTTGATTTACTTCTCAAGCTGAAGAACATTAATACGATATCTTGAAACGCTCGAAAATTTACTTGCCATCTCTTAAATCAGAGTTTTCTCTTTTTCTATTGTAATACTTTTAGTATAAATAAAACTTTGGGAAAAATACCTATGTCATAAAAGAGATATTTTGTGATAACTTTTCCATTGTTTTTTTTTGCTATAAATACATAAACGGAACGCATTGCCAACTTGCTTCTTGTGCCAATGAGCCCTATTATAGTCTCCCCTGCTGCCCCAGGATCGGCTTTTCGTCTCTCATTGGCCGAATTTTATCAACCATTTTCCTTCCTCTCGCTAATTAGATCACGCCAAGAATATGCGAACAAGAGCTTTTGAAATTTATCGCGGCCTAGTCCTCCTCGCTAAGAACTCCTCTTGAAGCCGTGCGAAGAGCGAAGAGCTCTCCGCGGCTCGGAAGCTTGCAGCGAACTTTGTCGAAACAATTTTTGAACTTCCTACATTATTCCATTTATGACGTCACATATCGAATAAAATTAACATGTGATTAGGCGAGCATATTTGTTATATTTTTTTGTGTTGATAAACGGAACGACATTTTCTAGCGCTACATATATGTATAGTCGTTCTACTTTATTGTAACACTTTTATATACCTAAATATCTTAATTTAATCGATGTCAAAATAATTACGCATGAAAATTAGTGTATGTCGATATTTTTGACTGATTCCTAATCACGATTAAGGAGTAAATTATAAGTATTAGTATATTTATAAGTATTAGTATATATTATAAGTATATATATTTTAAAATATTTAGGTAGAAATATTCTAAATTTATTGTAAGTTTTTACACATTTTCGTATTATTTTTTAAAGTTTTTAAAGTTTTAGAAAACATACGTGACCTCGCGAGCAAGTATACGTGATCGTGTGACAAAACGCGGTTTGTACTACTTGCGGCGAGCGCCACTCGTAATTACGGCTATACTACTTAAATAGAGTAGTGTCTGATGTAATATGTATATGTATCGACCCCGACTACTTAAATTGGATACTTTTATCAGCAATGTGATCGAGCGTTTATTTTCTCATTACTCTTTTAATTTTTTTTTTTTTATTAAAGACTGTATTTGAATACTATCGACTTGATGAAATATTAATTTCGAAAATATGCTTTCGTGTGATAGTTTTTTAATATTTTTTATTGTTTTATTATGTGCTCTATATGCGATAGTCAAAGATATTAGCAGCCGATAGTAAATTGCTTTTTAAGGATTGCAACATTAAAAAATCTTAAAGAGATATGTAAATCTTATTTTATTATTATATTATTATATCATTTTTTTTTTATTTTACTTTTATTATAATATTATTTTATTATTATATCATTATGCAAATTTAAGCAAGCTCAGTTTTGAGAGATATAACTTTTGAAGTAAAATGTCAATTTAGACGTAGTATCAACCGCGTCGAAATTTTTAAACTTGGATTTACATCACTCTCGTTTGAATATGCGAAAGTTCGTTTAGTTTAAGCCAACTGCTGACTCTGACGTGTGTGTTTTTCCACAGGTGGAGGAGATCCGCGAAATGATAGATAGGATCCAGACGAATGTGGAAGATGTGAAGAAAAAGCACAGCGCCATCCTCTCCGCGCCGCAGACCGATGAGAGTGAGTTTAATTTATCATCTTGTACTTATCCCCATTTCTTACGCGAAGTACGTGCATATATCCTCGCGGCTGCTAGCTGCTACCGCGGGTGGAGCTCGATTACGTTCCGCGGGGGCAAAAAGCGAGATCGTGTTCAACGTGAAAATCTCTATTTCCGGAAATTTCCGGTCATATGAAACGATCGGTCTGAGGATTAAATTAAACGATAACTGGCTTGATCAAATATTAGCGCATTGTGTGCCAACGCCGACGCATCTGTTTGCTCTACTCCTGTGATCATTTATGTGATCATTTATTCAAACCGATTTCGACATTTTTGATTGCGAACCTCGTTAATGCCAGATAAAAATAATTCCTACGTTTATTGATTAAATATATAAATAGGGGCGAGACAGTCGTTGTAGAGATTGCTTTTTTTGTATTTATATAGCACGTCGAGAATCAAATTCGTCATTATATTAAGATCTAATCGCTGGTTATTTTTATATTTAGTAATTATAATTTATAGAAATTATATTTATATTGCTAAATATAAATAACACACTGACAATTATTCTCTCGGATACCGATCGCCAGAAGCGAGAAGAGAATGTTCAGGTGGGCGAATCAACGCTTTGTTCCCGGTTAACCGCTTATCCTCCGCGAACTCCTCCGTCGGCTTGCTAAGAGTCAAATTCAAATTTGCTCTCTGTACATAATTCAAGAACTTATCCGTCTTTCTGGGGTCGATTTACTCGACACTGGCAGGCTTTCAAGCCGGTCGGTTGCCCCCGTTCCATCGGCAGGATACATCCCCGCTCATCTTCGAACGTCGATGCTGAATATTTCATTCGGCTGAACGCATGCCGTTGCTTGCCAAAAAACTCTCGCTGAGCATATCGCGTCGAAATCCGATATTTCAGAGCGACGTTTTATTATTGGAAAGAGCACGATATACAACGGACTTTCGCGAACTTTAATACATTGAACTTTGCGCGCACGCAGAAAAATTCAGGGTCTACCAAATTTTTAATATATATACATATATGTAATATTTTGAATTTCTGACATCGTTAAAGGACAACCTTGATCATATTGATGGGATTAGTAATTTAAGCGCAAGTAACAAAGCTTGTAAACTCTAGCGCGAGTGTAAAGTGTAACTCGATCGAGAGAAAGAACTGATGGAAGCTTGAACAGCCGTTAATTGAAAAGACTTGAGCGAAATAGTTTCTTCTAGAGGATATTCCGTGTAATTCTCTCGCTCATTGCGAGAAACGACCGGGAAATTATTCGACGTATCAGCTTTCGTAATTTCGCGCGAAGATAATCGAGCCTCGATATTCCGATAAGCGCGGCGCCCGCGCCGTCAAATTCAATAGAAATGCAATGCAGGAGACTGGTTAAATTTGAAAAGTGGCTGCTGGAGAGAAGAGGTAAAAGAGGTGGTGGAGTGGCCAGGATGCTCGCGAAAGAGGGTGGGAGACATAAGAGGCACGATAGAGAGAGAGAGAGAGGGATGGGACACTAGTGGTAATCGTCCTTGCCCTGGTTGCCATTGTAGCTGCTGGTAGCCGGGGTTGGATTGTCATCCCTTACACCTTCATCCCCCGGCATGAGCAGGCGCGCGCGCGCGTGTTTGCGACGGCTCCTAACCCCTTGTTTATGTGAATCGAACGCCGACGTCCGCTGCAGATTTAATTATATTATTAATGGTACTTCCACCGATTATGCTTTATTTTCTAGGAAAAGCCGTAGAACATAGATTATTGAAACATCGATTAATAACATTCCGGAATGCTTCCGGGGAGTGAGATGTATGCTGCTCTAATGAGACCTGGCTCTAAGATCCGAGTTTAAATTTAACAAAAAAATTGATTTTTATTTTTGATCGCCACTTTTCCAAAGAATACTCACTGATAGTATTTTGCCCTGAGAGAATCCCTTTATAAATACAGACGGAGATGGGCAAAATTTTATTGGAATAATAGATAATAAATAAAAGGCAAAGCATAATTTATTCGTAAATAAATTCTTATTTGATTAAAAATTTATTCGATTAAACGATAATTTAAATAAATTTTTATCTAAATAATTATCATTTTGTATTAGAAATATGTTTTATTTATATTAAAATATTAACAAGAAAGCAAATAAGCAAATTCAGTATAATCAAACAGAAAATTAAGTTACATATAATCAGAAAGAAATTAAATTACATATTAATGCTTATATAGAATATACATATATAGCAATTTAAATCTTTCCTTGCGGTTAACACGAATAACGTAAATAGTGCATAATACAGTTAATATAGATAACAAATAATATAAGTAATAAATAATACAAATCACGGGTGAAATTGTAATTAAATAACGATCTAGATAAAATTTTATTTGAATAATGCCATCTCTAAATACGAGAAAATTTTATAGTAAATATTACTATGGTGTCGCACTAGCTGCGGACCATCAAGGAATTTCAAGTTAAAATACTATAATTATTGTTTTAAAAACGATTAAATAACGTAATTTTTACCATAAACATAGTAATTTAACTTAAAATTCCTCGATGGTCCGCAGCTAGTGCGACACCATAGTAATATTTACTATAAAATTTTCTCCGTGTACTGTCTTTCAGAGGTTGGGGATTGTGTGTAGGTAAGGTTGATAACCTTAGTATGGAAAAACTCATTGTTGCAAAGAATTTAACAAAAAGAAGCCGGACAGCTTACACGGGTGAATAGAAAAAAAATTGTTAGACTAAAATTCATCTTGGATTGTAATGCCAGAAGAAGGCACTTTTGTGGGGGGGGGAGGAGATTTTTAGTGATTTGTAAGATTAGAAGAGTTTGATTTTAAGGAATTGCTTCGTGGATATAAATAGAAAAATTTTAAATCCATACTGATCCATACTGATCGCGTTACATGTGAATATTAAGATAGCTGTTACACTAATATACTGCATATGTAATAATATTATAAAGTTTAATATTTTACAAAATAATCAAGATTTTAAAGCTACGTCTTAATGTAAATATAGTTTGATAATATAGTTTGCGTTATTACATGATTTTTAAGAGCAGTCAAGTCGTGCATATATATTGATAACGCGATATCGCCAAGTTTTAACATTAAACGAAAAAGTAATATTGATAATGAGAAATGATAGAGAAGAGGAAAATTACGTTACGCTAATTGTAAGTTACGCTGTGTGACTTCACGATAATCTGTTTAGAAATCTGGATAAATGTCGCGCAAACATGCAGTACGTTCCTACGTAGCTTGTCGATAATTTCGAGCAAGTAGATTAACCTCCCGCAACTGAGGGATTAAGTAATATCCCGTACGAGAGAGAGAGAGAGAGAGAGAGAGAGAGAAAGAGAGAGAGCAATGCCTGCTAATTACTATTAATACCTCGACCTTGTGCATCGAAATTCCGTGATAATTTACCCGTGGCTTAAATTATCCGATATATTATGCATATAATCTTTACTCTTTGACCTCCTCAACCGGTACGTCTATACATCGTATCGGCCTATATTGTTCGAGCAGGATGCGAGTGTATTTCCATAGCTATCTGTCGCTCGGTCTCTTTCAGCTTCGCTCTTCTGTCTACCTGAGAAGTTTTGACGGCAAGGCGGCTAAGCCCTAGATACGTCAAAAAGATTTCTCCGTCTGTCCATGTGTCTATAAACATGCACGTACCTTCGAACACTTACGTTTATTGCAACTTTTTGCAACGTAACCGTCGCCGTAGCCGTCGGAGCTTGAACGAAACTGTAGCAAAAAAATAAAAAAATGAGAACATATGCGTTTAAGACGTTTGGCCAAATTGCGTTTAACTCGCGATGGCGTACTATCGTCGCTTTCGCGATACACAATTACGCGAAATGTACCAATTTGTTTAAACAGTCGCTTTTGCGTAGATTGCACGAGTTCTTTTCGCGAGCGAGCAGAGATTACGATGGGAGATCTTGTAGAAACTAGTAGACGTGATTCGAAACGTATTCTCGCAAAGAAGAGAGAGAAAAACTTAATTATTTTTTATTTTTATTTTCACGCTTTTTTTGTCTTTTACCATTAAATTGTTTAGATTGCTTACTTCAAAATAATAATGCATCTTTTATTTATCTCTTTCTAGTTATTGATGAATACATGTTTAACATATGTGTATATATGTGTATGCAAATGTAATTTAAACGACAAGCCGAAATAAAACTGCGTTAGTTGTAACGACGGAGGGATGATAATTTTTTGTATAATAAGGATGATATAAACAACGCTTTTCTTAAAACGTGTAGCTCTAAAGTAAGCTGTTGGTTTCTAAAATAAAAGCTAAACAGAATAAAATTAATGACAACTTGTACATCCGACGACTTGTACATCCGATACGTTTTTGGGTCGTTCGATTTCAAACAGCTGCGAGAAATACATATACCGTCGAGATATACGCGAGACTATTCACAACGCGGATACGAGCGTACGTATACGTGAACGAGATGAAGATAATCGGGCCTCGTGCACGTCGATATTGTTGTCACTCGCGGCGATCCGGTGGAAACGGGTTAAACGGTTTTAGAAACTGTGTCGGTGCGCCGAATGCTTCGTTAGAGGGGCACGCGCGCGGATTACGGGCGATAACGACGACGCCGGGACACCCCGCGGGATCGGCGTGGCGTTTACGCATTTGTTGCGGCGAACGGCTCGATAATCGATCGTTCCCACGTCACTTACGCGCTCGAGGCCGCGAAACAATCGTCGTTGTTCTCCCTGCGCGCTCGCTCGCTCGCTCGTTCCGCTCATAGGCCGGAACCCTATAATATGCAGGAATTATTCACACGTTTGAATCGCCGCTACGTATTTCCGCAAGCTAATGACGATATTCGTTAAATATACAACGCGCAATCTCGCGCATTATCCTCGATGAACAACCGCTTTAATTAGTAACCCATTTCCTCCGTATTTTCGCCCTCCTGTCCGTTGATTAACCTCTGGAGGCCTCCGGAGCTTGTTATTTTT